GGCGGGTCCAGGCCCTGCCGCTGCGCTGCGGTGGGGCAGCGTGCACAGGCCCTCTGAGTGAGCCCCAAGGGGTCCAGGCAGGCGGGGGCAGCCCAGGGGCCCGATGTGTCTGTCCCTCCTTCCTACACCCCCCCCCCTTTACCTCCCTCTCCTCAGTCGGTCTGTGTGTTGTTTCTCCAGAGATCCCTGTCTGTGATTCTCCACTGTCGGGGGTTGGGTTTTGTAACTGACCCAACTTCTGTTCTCACTGTGACTCTGTGGCTGTTTTTGTCTAGTAATTCTAATCGCTCAGACTGTCTCCCTGGCCCACACACATGCTCTCTGTCTTGTCTCCTGCCCACATGTTCCTCCCGTCTCCTTGAGTCCCTGGCTTTTTGGTTTGTTTGTTTGTTGTTGTTGTTTGTTTCCTGTTATCCATCCCAAAAGCAAGAGACTCTTCCAGCCACTGCTGCCCCACCCTACTGCAGGAGATGCTCTGTTCCAGGTCAGGGTCCTTGGACTACTTAGGAGGGCGTGGACCAAAGCTGTTCTCCCAAATCCTGCTTCTAAACCAACTCTCCATTCCTTATAGACCTGCCCGCATGGTTCCATCCATCACTCATGGCCTCATCCTGGCTCCGCTGGCTTCTAGCAGAAGGAAGAAGGGAGCCGGCTCACCTCCCAGGGCAAGAGCTTCAGCCCCCCCACGTGGCCGCCTCCCTGGAGCTCTGCCCAGCTGTCGCCCTGCCCTGGGCATCCCAGCTCTGGGCATTGTCCTGTGTGCTTCTCAGGCCCCAGATGGGAAAGGAGGGGAGAGAGAATGGGGAGGCGGCTGGGGAAGGGGGAAAGAGAGGAAGGGGAGGGGCCTCCATCTCTAATTTCATAATAAACACTTTATTTTGTAAAGTAGGAGCCTGCTTCTGTCAGTGCACCCAGCCTTCTGGGCAGAGCGTCCTCTGTGGTGAGGGTGTAATCGTTCTAAGCTCCATAGTCCTAACTTACTCCCTTTTCCTGGGAGGCACCGGCTTCACCCTCTCCACAGAGCATCTGGACGGTTCCATTTGAGGAGCATAATTATGACGACTGTCCCCAAGTCCACCAACACCAGTTCCACTTCCGTGGAACTGCCCCAAGGAATGAACGTGTGGGATTGGCAAGAGGAGCGTGAACAAGAGGAATACAGGGTAAAAGCGGGGACATGAGACCAAGAAGAGGGAAAGAGGAAGTTCTACATTGGCAACTAAACGAAAAACATGGGTGGGTAGGTGGGCGGCTGAAAGCAGCAAGCCAGCCCTGGGCCACGAGAACTAGGCAAGAATGGGCCATGGCAGGACAGCCACACTGATGGGGCTTCCCACTCCCACTTTTACACACACATCTCCCCAGGCCACAGAAGGCCTTGGTCTTCGTGGAGCAGCACAAGAGTCAGAAGAATCGGGATGCGAGTGGCTAAGGGGTACATCAGGTGGGTTGGCAGCTAGTTGGGACTGCCGACATCCTCAATGTTTGCTTGCTGAGGCAGAGGAGGCGTTTGCTTGGGGAACAGCACATGTCTCAGGCCTTTTCTTCCAGGTAGGTCTCAGGCTACTCAAGAGTAAGTGAGCCCCAGCAGATCTCAGGTGCCCTCCCAACTAAACCTGTGGAGAAAGCTGCTTTCATGAGAGAGGGAGAATGGCTCTCACCATGTAGCTCAGGCTGTATAGCCTGACCTCACTGTATAGCCCTGGCTAGCCTTGAACTCACAGCAAGTCTACTGCCTCCATCTCTGAAGGCTGAGATTAAGGTTATACAACTGGGAGCAAACCTCATGCCTTCCGTAATTGCTGATGTAGGACGAACAGGACACAAAAGAGCTCTCTCTCCATGGCTGGTTATTTATTCTGGTGCAGCTACATTACCAGGCCTGTAGGAGAGCAGGTGTCTATCTGTCCAAGGCCTCAAGACACTGAAGATGTAGCAGCCACAGCAGGACATCAGAGAGGACAGGGTCTGCAGTCAAGGCAGGCTCCCTAGCCCTTTGGTCTCACCCTGATAGCTGCTTCAACCTTTAAAAATTACTGGAACAATGAACAAAATGAATCACGAGCCAGTGTCAGGTAGAGAAGGGTGTATTCAAAAGGGACGTTTGTTTTTGTTTTAGGGTTTTTGTTTTGTTTTTTGTTTTTTGTTTTTTTTTTTTAGTTTTTAGAGACAGGGTTTCTCTGTGGCTTTGGAGACTGTCCTGGAATTAGCTCTTGTAGACCAGGCTGGCCTCGAACTCACAGAGATCCACCTGCCTCTGCCTCCTGAGTGCTGGGATTAAAGGCGTGTGCCACCACTGCCCATCAGGACATTAGTTTTGCCTGCCCAGTCCTAACAAGCCTACTGAGGCGCTCCAACAATGCACTAAAAAAGTAAAGGAACCTGGGGCTGGAGGGATAACTCAGATGTGAAGAGCACTGGCTGCTCTTCCAAAGACTTGGGTTCAATTCTCAGCATCTACATGGTAGCTCACAAGCATCACAAGTGTGTGGGGGACTCGATATCCTCTCTGACCTGCAGGCACCAGGCAAGTGTGTGGTACAGTACATAACATGGAGGCAAAACACTCATACATAAATCTAAAAAAAAAATAAAATAAAAACAAAACAAAAAAGGCACATGCCTTTAATCCCAGCACTCAGGAGGCAGAGGCAGAGGCAGGAGGATCTTTGTGAGTTCAAGTCCAGTCTAGTCTACAGAGCAAGTTCCAGGACAGCCAGGGGCTACACAGAAACAGCCTGACCAAAAAAAAAAAAAAAAAAAAAAAAAAGAAGGAAATAGATGTAGATGCGAGCTTTGTTCTTTCAAGGTTCTAGCCTCCTTGTCTAGTCTGGAAAGAGAGGTACAGGCATCTCAGGGGATTGGGTTGCACATTTGCACTCACACATACACACACACACACACACACACTTCACAGCATCCTTTGGTTGGGCTCAGATATCCATCACAGGTCCCAGATCACCCCTCTGCTCCTGTCATTGCTCACTGCCTGAAAACCTCAGAACAGACCAGGAGGGCAAACAGTAGTTAATGGGCTGGTACACAGCCTGGCCCCAAGTTCCTCTTTTCTGTGGCTCTACACTGTGCAAGATGTGGGGGGGGGGGAGGCTGGCACTGTGCCCCATAGGCTGCAGTGGCTGCTCTTATTCAAATGTTGCTCCTTTCTCTTCCACAGAATTAGCACACATGCCTCACCTGCCACCCTCAAGTGCAGCTACCTGTCCTTAGTCACTCACCTATAGCTGGATGCTAAGACTACTCACTCCAGGCGTTGGTGGCGCACGCCTTTAGTCCCAGCACTTGAGAGGCAGAAGCAGGTGGATCTCTGTGAGTTCGAGGCCAGCCTGGTCTACAGAGCAAGTTCCAGAACAGCCTCCAAAGCAATACAGAGAAACCCTGTCTTGAAAAACAAACAACAAAAAAAAATCTGCCCACACCAATGGCCATGAATATGGACCTACTCATACCTGTGCAAAAGTTGCCCCTCCTCCTGTACTCCTCCAGGACTAGGACGTCCCAAGTGTCCCTGACCTTCAGTTATCACCTCTAGAGACCCACACCTCCTCCCCAGGGCTGGGCAGTTTGCACGGGATGAAGGCTACTGGGAAGGCCAATACCAGATTTCCACCCTGGCTTGCAAGCTAGTCCCCAAGTACTGGGGACTTTCAGTAGTCATCTGTTCTTTCTGAGGGTCCCTGACTTTCCTTCCAGCTCTCCAGAGTTTGGAGAATCCAGTTCAAAGTCTGTAAGTCTAATGTCAATGAATTCTTAATCTGAAGTGCAGTCAGTCAAGGGAGAGGGGGAATCAGCTGTCAGTCTTAGGACTGGAGGCTTCAGGCCCCACCTCCTGACCAGCCTAGTGAGAGGGCAGTGGCTCTCCTGAAGCTGAAAGCCTGGATCTCCAAGTCCGGGCTCCCTGAAAAGCCAGAAGCTGGTCAGGAGGCCAGAAAATGTGCTGGCTGGCTCCAGTAGCATAGTACTTGCTCTGGTCTTCATCCTCTGGAGGGAACAACCAGGAGAGGCCGGAGTGAACAAACAGGGGAGAAGTCTGTGGGGTAGAGAGCTGGGCTGGGCTACAGGGTAGGCAGGGCTTAGGCCCTGGCCAGCATAGCAAGATAAGCCTGGGAATGGGCAGTTTCTCTGAGCTCACCATCCAAGCCCTTGGGTTCCTTGAAGTTCATTCATCTTTGGCCAATAGACAGGAGCTTGGCCTAATCCCCAGAAGCTTGCAAGGAAGGAAGGCAGAAAAGGCAGAACAATTGGCTCACACCTTTAATGCCAGCACTCAGGATGCAGAGGCAGGTGGATCTCTGTCAATTCGAGGCCAGCCTGGTCTACAGAGAGAATCCAGGATATCCAAGGGTACACAGAAAAACCCTGTCTCAAAAAAGAGGGCTGGGCAGTGGGAGCTGGGAGGAAAATATTCACAGAGAGCCCAGGAAGGGTTGGGTTGTCTAATCCCTACAGTGCTGTCACTACTGTATGTAACCTGGTTAAGTCCAATAACTCTAAACCAGATCCAGTTTCAATAAAGGACTGTGCTTCCAAAGGTTGTCATGAGAACTGCACTCAGTATAGGAGGAATCATTATAGTCATTATAGTCACGACAGGGCGGGCAGCAGAGACCAGCCCATCACCACTATAACAGAACTGCGGCCTTCAGGGCCTCTAAGTGTTAATGAGAGAGGGTTCTCTCCCCTCGGTGCCCTGGCTGACCAAGCTGAGAAGTGACCAGGAGAGAGAGATAAAGACTCAGACAGATAAGGACCAAAATGAGAATAGAGACTGGGGTGGGGAGACAAAAAAGGGCCTAGCACATAGCAGAGCAGTTGGCACGAAGTAGGCACGCAACAAGTGTTGGCTGAGTCAATTTAGAGGCTATGCCATCCATTGGGCATCATCAGAACATGTTGTACAGAGACATCAATAGCTCTGGGAGGCAAAAAGATAGGGACTTAAACAAATAAAGCAGGCAACCCAGAAGGGCCAGAGCCAGACGCCATGAGGATGCTCCCAGGACTAGCCCTGCCACGGCAGGCTCATTCCCTGACCTACCCGCCTTGTCTGGGTCCCCTAAGTTCTGTCATTTCTCACATCATTTTGGTCTTTGCTATTATTATCCTGGAGTCTCCTGTCGTCATCTCCTCTGGCTCCACGAAGAGTTCTCCACCTTCTTCAGCATCTTGTGGAGTGGCAGACTCAGGGTGGACTTGACTGGCTTCTGCCTCCAGCTCCTGTTCCTGCTCCAAGCCTGGGGTTTTCTGCAGCTCCATGTACAGCACAAAGGCATCACTGCGGGACACATACTCCCAGCCAGTCTCTCGGACGTGGAAAAGGTCCACTGAGCCCCCTGAATAAGCATCACGGTGGGTGGCATGGGTCACAGCGCAGCGGGCCAGGGCGTAGGCTTCCTGAACGGTCATGTCATAGCGGTAGCTACGGTCAAGCACGCCATAGGCATACGGAGATCCAGAGCCCACAGAGAAGATATCACCCCGCAGACAAGTGCCATCACTGTAGACATAGAAGAGGGCAGGGCCAGAGTGGTCCCAGCCACACAGGGCAGTGGCCACGCACAGATCCAGGCCGCGGTATCGGGACAGCATAGCTGACAAGAGTTTGGCTGTGCCTGCCACACTGGGCAGCTGGCCTTCCCTCAGTTCCCGAAGCCGCAGCTCCCGCTGGAGCACCCGATACCACGTGACACAGTCAGCAGAGGTTCCAGAGGTGGTACCCAGGAGGTGCTGGTGCACAGGGATGACCTTCCGTGAGGCTGGACATGCCACATAGCTGCCACAGGAGGAGCGAGTGTCGGCTGCAGCAATGACACCATGACGGAAGCGAAAAGCCAGGGTGGTGGTGCCATGGGCCAGCCTGGGGCCGTGGATCCGCAGGAAGGCTTGAGGGTCACAGCCCCGGGGCACAGCCCAGCCACCAGCCTCAGGCAAGTGAGGGGATGGCCCCTGGGTGTCGAGGGCCTGCCACTTGCACACATCCTGAAGAGCCATCCCTGAGGCTGAGTGAAAGCTGGAAGGAGCGGGCAGCATTTGAGACCTGGGTCAGAAGGACGCTGTAGAGAAGCTGGCCTACAGCCAGAGCCAGTAAGTGAGACCTGTGAGTTGATGCTTCATTTCTCCCGAATCTCAAATGAGGCTTCGGAATTGGTTAGTAGAGCATCTCCAGGGGGAGACAGAAAGGGCCAGCAGAGCTCCTGCGCTGGGGAGACGCCACCTATCATGTCACGTAAAGGTCACCAAAAGAGTCTCCTGTCTGTCATCCTCGGTCTACCCAACAGGGGGTAGAGGTGGGGATTAGCATAACTAAAGGGAAGAGTGCATGCAAGAGAAAGGAGCCCGACTGGGTCCTCCTTGGCTTTGCTATGTGGGACATTAGGCATGCAAAGACTTCTAACTCAGGTTGTGATGGGGGAAACGCAGCACGGACTGTGCTGAACACAGAGTTTCTGTAAGAGGGAAAAGGAGAAAGACTTAAATAACTCCCAGAAAAGCAGGTTACTGAAGGGTGAGAGTGCCAGAACTTGAAAGTTTCCCTTCTGCTCTAGGGACAAAGGGGTCCTTCTGTCTGCATACAAAGGTGGTGTTTCTAGGCTGGGAAGGTAAAAGCACTTGCTTAGCAAGCCTGATAACCAGAGTTTGAGCCTCAGAACCCACATTATAAAGCCAGAGGCAGACTGATCTCTGAGTTCAAGACCAGCCTGGTCTACAGAATGAGTTCCAGGACAGCCAGGGCTACACAGAGAAACCCTGTCTTAGGGGGGTGAGGAAGCAGGGTGCAGATGCCACAGTAACACGTCTGTAATCAGCATTCCTATGTCAAGATGGGGAGCAGGGACAGGAGAACCAGCTAACCCAGGGTACCAAGGTGCAAGACAAGAACTGTTCCTTGAAGGTTGTCCTCTGACTTCACACTCATACACTACACACACACACACACACACACACACACACACACACACACTAAACAGTTCATTTTTAAAGTGGTGCAGCATTTGCCTAGCATGCCCAAATCCTGGCTTCACAAAAATGATAAAATAATAATCTAAAGGTATCCATGTTTGGTGATATATATATATCTAGTAACTATTCCAGCATTCTGGCTAAGATGGGAAGATTGTGAGTTCCAGCTCACAAGCCAGAAGAATCTACCTCACATACATACATACATACATACATACATACATACATACATACATACATACATACATACATACATACATACATACATACATACATACATACATACCTTAAAAAATAAATACTACAGGGAACTGGAGAGATGGTTCAGTGGTTAAGAGCACTGGCTGCTCTCCCAGAGGACCCAGGTTCAATTCCCAGTACTCACATGGCAGCTCATAACTGCCCACAGCTCCAGTGCCGAGGAATTTGATACCTTTACACAAACATACATACAGATAAAACATTAATATGCATGAAGTAAAAATAAATAAATAATGTCACAACGTTTCAGACTTTCCATAAGGATGGAGTGAAATCCTTCTAAATTATGCCATTATCAGGTTGGGTAGGACTGCTGGATGGTCTCCTAAATAGATGCCTTGACCTCCTGCTGTATCCCTACCCTCCACATGGGCAATTTCTGCTGAGATGTAATGCAAATATTATGTCTTCTCTGTTAAGAAACGGCTACAGCCAGCGTTGGTGGCCAATGCCTTTAATCCCAGTATTTGGGAGGCAGAGGCAGGTGGATCTCTGTGAGTTTGAGGCCAGCCTGGTCTCCAGATCGAGTGCCAGGATAGGCTCCAAAGCTACACAGAGAAACCCTGTCTCAAAAAAAGAAAAAGAAAAAAGAAAACGGCTACAACAAGACAAAATACAACTTCTTTCACCCCAGACTGATGTCTAGAGTTTCCTATAGCACCTAGCACCAGCAAAATGGGGCATGCCTTTAATCCCAACATTTGGAAGGCAGAGGCAGGTGGATCTCTGTGAGTTCAAGGCTAACCTGGTCTATATAGAGAGATTCTGTCTTTAAAAACTCAGAATAAAATAAGATTTAGAATGAGTCCACTGTTGTGGAATATTTGTTTAACTAGGCAGAAATGGGTTAATTTGTTTATTATGCATTTGTTTGGCTATGTAAAGCTGTGTTGCATTGTGGTAATTAAATAAAATTAACCTGGGCTCATAGAGGCAGGGTTAGCAACTAGTTGACAGGAAGTAGTGTTTTTTAGTTGGGGTCTTGTGGAAGGAGAAGGGTTTCTGGGGATGCCAGCTAAGAGAGAGAGTCAGTTCCTGCTCTAACTCTTTGAGCTCACAGGTTTTCACATTAGCCTTTGAATCTCAGGTTTTATTAGAATGATAGAGATTTAGTTACCTTTAGGCGAAGCAATAGAGTCGTTGTCTTGGGAAACAAAATTCCCACCAGGCTACAGCCTTAGTAGTAGCTGGGCTACTAGTAGTTTAAAACTTGGCCACTGTGACCAGGTAAAAGAGCATTTTGACCCCCGACATTGGGCACCAAAGGTAGCAGGCTTTCTTGGACTGCTAACCAGCTCCCAAATCAAGACATGGAGACTTATTATCAATTATGAATGTTCAGCCTTATCTTATGCTTGTCCCACTAGCTCTTATAACTTATGTTAACCTGTTTATCTTCATCTATGTTTTGCCTTGGGGCTTTTTAGATTATTTATTTATTTATTTATTGGTCACTATATGGACCAGGCAGGCCTTGGACTCACAAAGATCTGCCTGCCTTTGCCTCACCAGTGCTGGTATGCTGTTTTGGTTTTGAGGTAGGATCTTATTTTGTAGTTGTTTGGGGGGCCTTGTTTGGGTTTTTTGGGGGTGCGGTTTGAGGAAGGGTTTCTCTGTGGCTTTGGAGGCTGTCCTGGAACTCTCTCTGTAGACCAGGCTGACCTCGAACCCTTGAATTCACAGAGATCCACCTGCCTCTGTAGTTTAAGCTGGCCTTCAACTCCCTCTGTAGCCCAGGTTTGCTTCAACCTCACTATCCTCCTGCCTCTGCTTCTTAAGTGCTGGGATTACAGTCATGTGTCATGTGTGGAACTCTGTCCTCTGGGCAGCACACACCTACTGCCTGCTTGAATCAGAGCAGATGTGATTATCCACTCGACATCAAGACTCAAGATCGAGCCCACTAACTTCCTTTTGAGGAAGGGAGACAGTGTTGTTGAAGAGAACACACGTGAGGTGGCACTCATCAGGCCCTCCCAAAGAGAAAGTAAGAAGTTCACAGTTGTAGATGTGCTTTTTCTTTTCTTTTTTTTTTTTTAAGATTTTATTTATTTATTATGCATACAGCATTCTGCTTCCATGTATATCTGCACACCAGAAGAGGGCACCAGATCTCATAGTGGATGGTTGTGAGCCACCATGTGGTTGCTGGGAATTGAACTCAGGACCTCTGGAAGAGCAGTTAGTGCTCTTAACCTCTGAGCCATCTCTCCAGCCCCTAGATGTGCTTTTCTAAATTAACTTATTCATTTTATTATTTTTCCTGCATTTAATATGTACACCGGGTACATGCTTGGTGTCCATGAAGGTCAGATGCAGGCAATGTATCTCCTGGAACTAAGAGCTATGGATGGCTATTAACCATCATGCAGAAGCTGGGAATTGAACCTGGATTCTCTGTAAGAGCAGTCAGTGCACTTATTCTTACTTGCTGAGCCACGTCTCCAGCCCCCAGTTAACAGCTGTTGAGGAAAGAAACTGTTTTTTTTAGTAGTGTAGTTTCCATAAGTTACACAGGTCCCTATAAGTAACCACTTAGTCACACACCTGTAAATAACCTCAAACTCACTGGGTTACCATGCTAGACCTGGGTAGAATCACTCTTTGGTCTGTCCTTGGTGCTCCATGTGGGGTGAATAGATAGCTGTTCACATCTTTCCAGGAAGAGACATGCGGCATGCAAACATAGTGGTAAGGCTCTAATTTTGAGGAACAATAGAACTCAAGTGGACCCCAGATCTCCTTGTCAAAACCATCCTGGACCATTTGTTTCAACTGACCTGTATCTATCTATACTGAACTCGACATTTCTGAACTAGATCGATGGTTGTGACTTCTTTGTAGGAAAACAAGACTGAGTCTCCAGCTAGTTAAGTAGAGAATGACAATCTTTAGGACCAGAAAACTAGTTTAGGAGAGCATTTCAGGATCTAGGGAATTAGAAACCACAGGTGGGCTGGAAAGATGGCTTAGCAGGTGACAGCAAGTGGGGGCTCCTGATACCAAGCCTGAAGATGAATTTGATCTGCAGGACCCACATGGTAGATGGCCAGATATGTCCCTGCAAACTGTCCTCTGACTTCAGCCCAATTGTGGTGTAAGTATACACACACACATACACACACACACACACACACACACACACACACACACACACACCCCGGGGGCAGGGTATGTGAGAGAGAAGTAAAATAAAATGTAATTGACATTGTTTTATTTGTTTGTTCTTGAGACTGGGTCTCACTATGTAGCCATGGCTGAACTCAAATTTTCTAACTAGACCAGGCCGGCCTTGAATTCACAGAGCTCTGCCTGCCTCTGTTTCCCAAGAAGTCTGGGGATTACACCATTATACCCAGCTTAAACTTAAAAAAAAAAAAAAAAAAAAAAAGAAAAAAAAACCAAAGGTGATATCAGCTGTAAATGAAAAAGGATATCAGACGAGAAGAGAACCTGGCAAGTCACTGAATATGGAGGAAATTAAGGAACAAAGATGAGCCAGGGCTTCAGCCTCTATGACTGGGAGAACATTATTGTCTCGTACACAAACGTGTACTGAGTATGAAGTAGGCCAAGAGATAAACAGCTCTCATTAAATGACACAACTGGGGCTGGCCAGATGGCTCAGAGAGAAAAGCCCTTTTGCCACCAAGCCTGAGGGTCTGAGTTCAGTCCCTGGAACCCACGTGTTAGCAGGAGGGTACTGGGGGCTGGAGAGATGATTCAGTGGTTAAGATCACTGGCTGCTCTTCCAAAGGACCCAGGTTCAA